GGCTCTAAAAGACCATAATTTGTAATTAAAGGTTTTATAATGTGAGATATGGAGAATTGCAAACATTACTTTCTATGGAAATGATAAAGTCAGATTTGCCTTTTAGGAAAAAGAAGTCTAGCAAAAGAACTGACAATAGGTTAGAGAATTTTTTTTTGTTTTTAGGTTAGAGAATTTTAAAAACTTATACTGTATTTGTACCTATGGAGACTTACTTACTTAATTTATTTATTTATATTTTCTTTCAAAGACACAACAACCCACTTTAAGTTACAGAATGGATACAATAGATAATGCCATTTCTTTTTCTTTGGTGCACTTTTCCAAGGGCCACATATAGCTCTAAAATGATATGATAGCATAGCCAAGAGAAAATGCTATGTGTATCCTTCCAGGTTTTAGTGACAGACTAGCTTGTATCAGAGTAGACTTCCTATTAATAGTAATTTAAAATTCTTGATAAAATATAAAAGCAACGACAGAAACTATTTATTGGCACTAGAGAGCACCTAAACACAAGCTGAAACTAAAAAAGATTCAACCTTCAAAAGAAGGAAACCACACTTGGTGAAATCCGCATTTTAAATGGCTTTGACCCTCAGGGCCCTCCAGGTCCCACATAGGAAGTGGCTGATAGGGCTCAAAGAAAACAAAAAACTGTAGTTTTATTGACTTTAGGAATCACAGGACTGAACTCAGTGTTGTCAGAATAACTAGGAATTGAGATTAGAATTCCTGAAGAGAGAAAGTCACAGAGGAGGGAGTCCCCAAATCTATATATGAAGGTCTAATCTATATATTAAAGGTCTAATCTTAAACTGTACATGTACAGATAAAGAGTCCAAGGAACCCAGGAAGAAAACAAGAACTCGAAGGCTGAAAGAACAGAGCAGAACATTCAGTTTCTCACTTCAGTGATAATTGAGTTTAGAATTTTAGTTCCCCCGAGTTAGAGGGAAATGACAAACATCTTGAGTTTTCCATTGAAGTTCTGGAATGTTCATGCTTTAGGAGAAAAGACCATATCCTAAAAGTAAAGGAAAAACTAGACTAAACCTACCTTAACAAAGCCTACAGTTAAGCCACTATATTACCTGGCAGTAATTTAATTGTTTGCCAGAGCAAACTTTAGTGCTGTTTGGAGGAAGATAATTTAAAGCCTTTACAACCGATTTACAATGTTTATATGTCATCAGTAATTACTGGACATGCAAAGAAACAAGAAAATGTGACCCAGAGTCATGGGAAAAATCAGTTAATATAAACAAATTCATAGCTAACATAGATATTGGAATTGGCAGATAGGATGTTCAAACCACAATCCAGAATCTATGAAGGCATTTCGGTGAAAAGAGGGTGAGGAGAGGGGAAAATTCAGGAGTGTTCTGAAAACTATAAGTAAAAGAACCAAAAAACCAAATGAAAATCTTAATATCTAAAAAATAAATCTCTGAAATTAAAAAGAAAAATTGGATAGAACTAACAGCAGATTTAACACAACTCAGTAATAAAAAAGATAATAAAAATTAGCAAAAGATGAGCAGACACTTCCAAAAAGAATATATATGAACGACCAATAAGCACTTGGCAAGATACTTAACATCATTAATTATCAGGGAATTGCAAATTGAAATCACAGTGAGATACCCCTCTATTTCCATTGGAATTGCTAAAATTAAAAAGGCTGACAACACCAAAACATTATCAAAACTTGAACCCTCAAACTTTTCTGGAGGTATATATAAATTGGTATAATCACTTAGGAAAACTGGTATTAGTTCTTTATAAAGTAAAATATATGCTGACGCAGCAATTTCATTCATAGTTATGTGTGCAATAGGAATGAAAACATAAAGCCACAAAAGGACTTGTACAACCATGCAAATCTATTCACAATAACTAAAAACTGTAAATATGCCACTGCTATTCATAGATGAGTAGATAAGAAGTTATGGTATTTTTCAACAGGGGAATATTACTCAGGAATAAAGAGGAATGAAGTATTACTGTATGCAACAACACAGAAGAATCTCAAAAATAAGCTGACTGAAAGAAGCTAGTCCCCACTCTGCATCTCTTATATGAAGTTTGAAGTTATGTAATAGGCAAAACTTAGCCAGGGTGATCAGAATCAGAAAAGGAGCTCTCTGTGTGGCGTTAGAAGAGAAATTGGATGGAAAGGGCACAAGAGAGCATTTTGGATTGATGGAAACATTCTGCATCTTTATTGGCGTCATGATTACATGAGTATATACATTTCTTAAAACTCATCAAAACTGCACATTTGAAATCTGAGCATGTGATTGTGTGACCTTTATAATTCATAAGCAGAATTGATGAGAACTGAAAAACAGCATAATACGATGGTTCAACAGGCCACATGTAGGGATTGAGGTAAGACTACCTGGATTCAGTCCTGAAGACAGTGAATTATAGTGGGTAAAGGTATGGTTGGTACATCAGACAAACCTGAGGTTTTGAAACACATTGCCAATATTTTGTGAATATTGGTGGGTTACTAGCTTTTTCTAAGCTTCATAAAATGAAGACAATAAAATCAGTATCTGCTGGTAAGGTTAGCCTCAGTATAGTGGCTGGCATATAGATACACTCAAGAAATTTAAGCTGAAGTCATTATTATTAGATAGCTCTTCAGCCATTCTTTCATTGCTCTATTCATGAATGCTGGTATAACATGAAGATTTTGAGAATTAGATATCCACAAACTGCATTATACTGCAATCTAAATAATGCAGACAATATTTGACAGCATATGATTAAGTACACTAGCAAATCCTATTTAATTATCCATTTCAAACTAAGTAACTAATTATCTCTTTGCCAAGAAAAAATGTTCAATTCAAAACACTTCTCTTGAAGATCTCGTAAAAAAAATTCAAACATAAGTTAGGACTTTTCCCAATAGTCTCACTCTTGTTTCCCATCTCATAATCACTTTTTATATTTTGATGTATCTTTGTGGTACCTATACGTGTGTATACATAAATGTATCTAAGTGTGTATATGTATAACTTTGTAAGCAAAATTGTGGCTATATGATTTACATACTCTTCTAAACCTGACATTTCACTTAGAAATCTTTCCATGTTTAGGACTATTTACATATAGAGTTGGCCCATTCTTTTTAACAGCTGCATAATAGGATTGCACTGGTGAACTTTATCTAACTAGCCCTCCATCTGAGTAGGTTCAAGTTTCCATTATTATAAACAACTTTGACATTCTTATTCTTATAGCTTTTACACTTGTGTTAATTATTCCACAGAATAAATGTTGTTTTAAAAAAATATTTATTTATTCATGAGAGACACAGAGAGAGGCAGAGACACAGGCAGAGGGAGAAGCAGGCTTGCCGTGGGGAGCCTGATGTGGGACTCCATCTCTGGACCTTGGGATCACTCCCTGAGCCAAAGGCAGATGCTCAACCACTGAGCCACGCAGGTGCCCGGACAGAATAATTTTTTTTAAAGAAAGTATAATTGCTAGTGAAAGAATTTGAACAAAATTTATCAAGCTTTTTTTTTTAAGAGACAAATTGTATATGTGAGTATGTGTATTACTGAACAGTGAAAGAATATGCATTGGAATGTTGAAGATTCTCTGGATCAATTACATGGTGTGTGGACTATGGAGAGAGGGGGACATCTTCTCTTATACCCTGGTTTATTTTCATACCCCCACTTATTATTACAATCCCCCTCTTTGTCTCTTTACCTTCATTTAGCAGTCTTGCATTTCCTTTCAGTCAAGAAGCTGATTCAACAGCAACTAAGAACCCATGTTTTCAATTTCCTAATTTATATGCATTTGATCTTTGAGCCTTCTCTCTGTGCACTCATACCTGCTCCATCCAGTTATATAAAGTTTTAATTTCCCACAGCATCAGATTTGTGTTTTCAGGGCAGCCTGGGTGGCTCAGTGGTTTAGCGTCACCTTCAGCCCAGGGCCTGATACTGGAGACCCGGGATCAAGTCCCATGTTGGGCTTCCTGCATGGAGCCTGCTTCTCCTTCGGCCTGTGTCTCTGCCTCTCTCTCTCTGTGTTTCTCATGGATAAATAAATAAAATCTTAAAAAAAAAAAGATTTGTGTTTTCAAAAGGCAAGTCTCACTGTGTAGGCCAGATGTGAAGGCGCCGGGGGGGGGGGGGGGGCGGTGAGAGGTCAGAGGACTGATGAGACTTGATTGGTGAAAGGCAGAAAGCCCTTCCTTTAGTGGAGGTAAGGCAAGAGCAGCCAGAGTTCTTGGCTTAGTCCCTTCAGGTGAGTGAGGGTGGTTTTCTGGGTGTTTACTAAGAACTAAACTACCCTTGCCCATCATCTAGTGCCCTGTCAGATACCCTGCAGAAACACAACTCTGTTTGTGTCATCCTATTGGGGGAGGAGGAACTCAGAGGTCTGGTTCTTTTTTGAATGGCTAATTAATTCTACTCTGTTTTGAGGTGAGTACAGATGTTTTAGAGTGCTGTTCTTACTTCCTTCTTGACCTTTTTCTTCTTTAACCTGTGGTATGTTGGAGGCAATACTTACCAGCTTGCGAGACAGAATTGTTAGCTTTTGTTTCACACTCTGTGTTCAGTGACATTGAGCTGATAGTTTGAGATTGGATATTGGATATTTACACATTTGGTATTGGAAAATGCTACAAATCAGGGATTCCTCCATCCCAAAAGAAACTCTTGTTTAATGTTTACCAGCACACTACAAGACTTCTATAACCCTACTATCTCTGCTCAACACACACACACACAAACGCACACGCACACGCACACGCACACGCACACACACACACACACACACAAGAAAACAGTGTTTGAAGGATTGGACAACATAGGTTTTCTTCCCATGAGGCTAAAGTGATTTTCAAGAGGAACAAATTGAGTTCCTTTTCTCTTCCTGTCTTGGGTTTTGCATTTACTTCCAAAAGAACAAATATGAGCTAACTTCTTTTTTTTTTTTCTCTCTCTCTCTGTCTCTCCTAGTGGATGGCTGTATTCACAGAGCAGCTGGCCCCTGTTTACTGGCTGAATGTCGTAACCTGAACGGCTGTGAAACTGGACATGCAAAAATCACATGTGGCTATGACCTGCCTGCAAAATGTGAGTACAACTTTTTTGAGCACTATTTCAAAATCAGATAGGCACACGTATATTGTTTTATTCCAAAGTGTATAAGTGGGAAAGGAAATGGTAGTGGTGATATTTAATTAAATGTGCTTATATTCAGATTTTGCACTTAGCACTAATATATGTACTCCAAATATTTCTTCAAATTTATATGTATAATATGTAAGTGTAGGTGATTTTTGTTCAGGTCTTCAACAGAGCATCTTTGAAACAGAGAAATAAAAATATGAGCAAAATATACATTATAGTATTTAACTGCCATGGAGTGACAGCTTCTGGAAATGATGCCAATTTCTTATTCCTTGTTCAGGTTTCTTGATTGTGGATGTGTTTAGAGCAAAGGAGATCAAAGTGATGTATTGTGTTTTCAGCTGCCATGTAAAGGCTGATTGGCAATTACAGCCAAGGCATCTGTCACACTTTGCTTTCAGGAAAAGCCAATGGAATGTGGTTGTCAATGTGAGAATGTATTTGCTCTTTGAATGTGGAATGGTCAAAATTTCCATTATATTTGAATAGAAAGAAGTATTGCATTTGATTGACCTTGTTGCCTAGTCATTTAGCCAACTGAGTGGTGTTGTGTGGAATAAAAATACTGAGAGAGAAGCTGGTTAAAGGCACAGATTTTTTAATCACATAATCTTCAGGGGTTAGCAGGTGGAGGTAAAGGGTTTCATTGCACTGTTAAAGTGTTCATTGATCTGGAAATTGGGACACCAATTAATTGTTTATTCTATTCATCTGCTTCTTTGATACTGCCTGGGTCTGTGAATACCTTTTATATAAAAGTGAAGCAAGTTTTTGTTTTTCTTTTTTTTTTCAGTGGCGAAAACGTGACTAAAAAAATATAACACAATATGTAGGATACTTGTTGGGCTCTGTATAAACACATTGTGTGAGAATGAATTTCCTATGGATATGTGTGAGTGGAGAGATGGTGTGTTATATTTTAAAGATTACTTTAAAGAATGTTTAAATCTGAGATTTTCTATTAAGTGTAATATATTTAAATGATATTTTTCTTTATAAACATTATAATACTACATTCTATATTTCTCAGAGGGTTCTAGTGAAAGTATATCAACTATATACTATTTAATTTTTTCTTTTAATGACTTCTCACTTGAAAAATCAAAAATCAAAATCAAATCATGTGCCAAATGGCCCCTTTCTCCCACTTGAGATGTGTACTTATGTCAAATAAAGTCCTTTGTGTACCACAGTGTTTCAAACAGTTCTCCCTCTAAGTTAGAAAACCTGAGTATAAAAGGTGATTTCCCTTTCCAGGATTAGATGTATCTGTGTTTACAAATACCGGTCATTTTTTTTTCTTTTTGACACCATACTACCTTTGTGATATGGCTAATTGATACCACCCTGAGAGCAAGCAGATTATTGATTATTTCCAGACTTATATCTGTCTTTAAACTAAGGAATAAGGCTTGGTTTTCTACTACTTTACTACCTTTTTTTCTTGTGTATTAAAGCACAAATAAATTCTCTAACTCTGAGATTTCTGAAGGCAGATAACCTCAGTATCACTAAAGATAAGCAAATAAAATGATGGCTTTAGTGTATGAGTTAATGCCATGATGGTTTTATCTTATGTGCTTGCTTCTGTATGACATCCCTCTAAGTTGTCTAGCTTAGCTTAGGGTTGCTGAGGAGGTATGAAGATCAATAACACCAATACCTGTGCTTGAGGAGTTTCATGATTGAGTCATATCTCTGAGCTAAGGTGTGGCTTTCCTGGGCATCCCAGATGAACTGAGTCTTTGTGGCACAAGGACTCTAGTGAACTAAAGTCAGTCCTCAGGACTTGGTACTCAATCTGTGTGAGCTGAGATACTGAGAGCCTTATACACATTCAAGTCACTTTCCTCATCCCATAGGGCACATGTAGTAAAAAAAAAAATCATCTAGCAGTATAGAAAATACTAGACTTGGGATGGCAGTGCCACCTCATAAAAGTCACACACATGGACTACTTGTGAATAAGTCTTGGTATTTATCTATATTTTGAAAGATTATTGATCTATATTAGAAACATAAAGAAAAGCAAAGAAAGCAATAAAGCAATGTGGAAATGAGTAATAATAGTTTACATCTGTATGCCACTTTATAGTTTTCCACAGTACTTTCACAAGCCTTTATTTTTTAAATTATATTTTATAACATCGTGTGTGTGTTCATTTTCCCTTTTCCTATCCCTGAAAGATGTTTTTCTTTCTCATCAATTTGGTTCATCCATTTCAGAGTCATTAAAAATCCACAGATGTGCTTTTGTAGAGAGAGAATGAAAGGAGCTCATTACATACTGTTTGGGTCATTTTCCCCCTCCATATTTAATAATTCCATGACAGTTTGACAGCAGAACCTAGTTCCTATCTGTCCTCTGTGACAGCGGGTTTATCATTATGGGGTACTAAAGCCAGTCATCCAGCCACCAATGTTAATATCTTCATGCATCAGCAATTTATTTGGAAAATGCTATTGTCTAGGTTACAGATAAACTTGGTAATTTTGGACTGGTCTTTGCTTCTTTTATGCTTGCTAAGTTAATCTATTCATAAATGCTTGTATTTGAATTAATCATATTTGTAGTGTATATTCTGTGACTCATTATAATTGTTGGAAAGATAAGCCTCAGAAATTTAGTTTATTCCTCATTGTTTTGATGTTTTGATTTCTTTTGATGTAGAATATCCAATCGTTCTTTTCAAAAGTAATCTTAAGAGTGGAAAGAATATTAGCGAATATTTCATTACAGTGATTGCTGAAGAAATGACTTAAGAAGTAGATTAAGAACTGTTTATACAAGGATCCCTGGGTGGCTCAGCGGTTTAGTGCCTGCCTTTGGCCCAGGGCGCGATCCTGAAGTCCCACGATTGAGTCCCACGTCGGGCTCCTTAAATGGAGCCTACTTCTCCCTCCTCCTGTGTGTCTGCCTCTCTCTCTCTCTCTCTCTCTCTCTCTCTCTCTCTCTCTCTCTCCACGTCTATCATAAATAAATAAATAAATCTTTTAAAAAAAAAAAGAACTGTTTATACAATTGGACCTTTTGAGACCTTCTCTTTTACGATATTGAATTTATAATAAAATTGAGATTTCCATAGAGTTTTAGAAGCTTATCAACATGTAGAACTTTTCTGTTCATGCTATCATCATTCTACCAGACGGTCAGCTTCATGTGGGAGAAGCTCATCTATCAGAATCACAGTTTTACTGTCAATATCTAGTACAGTGTTTCCTGAATATGTGCTAAATTAATGTGAATGAATGAGTGATCAGATGATTGGTTTTAGAGCTTTTCACCTGGAAAATAGCTTTGCAAGTGCTTCCTCTACTAATTCTTTCCCTCCTGCAATGCATTTTGCCCAGTGCTGGTAGATTAATATTCCCAAATTCAGAGTGCTCATAATTGTAAGATTCTAAATGATGTGACCCTCCTACATCTCTGACATCATCTCCCTCTATCTTCTTCCTTGCTCACAGAGGTTGCTTTGTTGACCTGTAATGTATTCGCATTAGCTTTCCTCCTGCCTGGAATTTTATTCTTCTGCATACCTATGTGGCTTGCTCTCTCACCTATTTCTTTTTTTTTTTTTCCTCTCACCTATTTCAAACCCTTGCTCAAATGTAACCTCCAGTATCGTCCTAATGAACCTGTTTATAATTACTTTTCTGCTTTAATCATAATTACTTATCTGTAGTATTTAACCTTCAAATACCTGGTATCATTTAGTTTTTTTGTCTATCTCCCCCTATGAAAATGGGGGCAGATATTTTTTTCTGTATCTTTTTCACTTATTGCTGTGTCCATACAGGTTAGAAAAATGCTTGGCACTTAACGGGCTCAAAATCTGCTTGTTGAATGAATGAGCAAAACCTAACTCCACTCCTCAAAATCCTTGGATGGGTCTTTCTTTAAACACAGACTAGTTAGGCTGATTACCTTTGCCCTTCCATCATTTACTGCCATATCCTGAACTAATAACCTTTTTCCTGATCTGAACTGCTGACAGTGGTGTGCCTGTGCTTGGGCTCTGTATTTGGGGCCATCTAGGAAGCTCTTTGTCCCTTTCTTGTCTTCCAGAAGTCAGCTCAAATATTACTTCTGTCATGAAACAAGTCTTCCTTATCAACTCAGCTAAAGCACCTTCTTTTTCCTTCAAACTCGTGAATACAGCTTGTTAACATGCTAAGGGTATTTTTTCACTACTTTTTATTATTATATATACAAGCTTTCCACCTTTCTATCATTCCCTTGTGTATAATGGGTACTAGAGAAACATCTACTGAACGAATTACTTGTTAAAGGTGGAAGATTTGTTGATAATTGACAATGGGTAAAATGTAAAAGACAATTTATGTTAATATCCCTGAGAAATGATGAAATTAGTATTAATTATCCCTTGGGTTTTTTAAATCATATTTTAACATACATCTAACATCTAATTCCAAAGTCTCTTGTTTAAGGATTTACTATTAATGGAGTTTCTCTTAAAGGTGAAAAAATATAAATAAAGAAACCATATCAACTTTATTTAATGACTTTCAGCATACCTAACATGTTTCTTCTATTTCTTGATAATGCTCAATTTTTAAGCCTTAAGGCTGAATAATCATGGATGATAAATGGAAAAATATTAAAATCTGTATATAAAATGGTAGAATCTGTTTCTTTTATTCTTTCCATTTAATCTTTGGAAGATATAAAAGAGTTATTTTAGCATCCAGCTCACAGATTTTTATTAATCATTTGAAAGGAGACTGTAGGGTGAGAGACCATAGTATAGTATGTTTGAATATCATAGAATGATATGAATCAGAATCCTCATTCTATTCCCAGGTGCAATAATAATCAGATGATAGTAGCTTAAAAGGTACTGTTGATAATAATTAATACTTCTCCTATGCCTTCATCAAGAAATCATAGGACTTTGAAATTTTAGCTAGTTCATCAGTCCTTT